CATCACGGTGTTGAGATGTTACCTACCTCGCCTGGTATACAGGAGGTCGTGGATTTTTCTGCGGATACTCCCGGGTTGTTCCCTCCACGTTAAGACTCAACATCACGCGTTTAGAGTATGTGCCTTCTGCTTGTACATTTCCACACGATGATAATGATGAGGACGATAAGCCACTTGGTCGAGCTATCGTTTGTGATAGCCAGGTCGCGTCCGCACATGGTAGGTCAGTCGTCCTTACCCGGTAAAATGAAACAAATGTATCATTAGACCTCCTTTGCCAGTACCAAAATGTAATAATAGGGTTTTTTCCCTTTTTTCTGGCAACAAAACTGAAACCTTTATACAAGGATTCATGTTACTGCATTAACCACAATACCTGCAGTCAAAATGCAAACAAAAAATATACTATGATAATATATTGGCATTGTCCTTGAAACTGATTGGTCAAAACTGATTGGTCAATCAATTTCAAGGACAATGCCAATATATTATCAGAGTATGTTTTTTGTTTGCATTTTGACTGCATAGTATTGTGGTTAATGCAGTAATATGAAGCCTTGTAAAAAAAGGTTTCAGTTGTCGATTTAAAGCTTTCGTGACTGCAAGGATTCATCTGCTTTGGTTCTTTCGGTAAAGTCACCACGTAGAATGAGAATAAAATAAAATAAGAAAATAAAATTCTCACGACGTTTCGGCCACAACACAAGTAGCCGTCCACCCCCCCCCCCTCCTCCCACCTCCTCCCCCCTCCTCCAGTCCTAGCTCGTTCGCTCTCCGTGGTGCTAATCCCTCACACCAACATCATGCTAATCTCCCAGTTACATGCTCCTTTGTCAAGGCTCTCTGTTCCTCCGACACAGCTTAAAAGACGCTGTCAAGCTTGACAGGGTTCACTCAGGCGCTGTCTTCTGGGACAGTCCTGTTGCTTCACCTGAGGACGGCTACTTGTGTTGTGGCCGAAACATCGTGAGAATTTTATTTTCTTATTTTATTATTTTATTCTCATTCTACGTGGTGACTTTACCGAAAGAACCAAAGAAGAGATAGGAATAGGTTTTACCCTTTTAACTGGCACAAAAACTGACACCTTTATACAAGGGATCATGTTTGCAATAACCACAACACAAGCAGTCAAAATGGAAACAAAAAGAGAAAACTCTGATAATGATATTGGCACTGTCCTTGAATTTGATTGGTCCACACCCGAGACGGCTTTTCTTTGGGCCTAGTCTCCATTGGTGTTGGACCACAAGACGCCAAAAGGCGTCCTCTGGTTTCAGTTTTGTTGCCAGAAGAAAAGGGGGAAAACCCCCCTATTAATATGAAACAAATGGTTTACAGTAAATGGTTTCCAATGGCTCATTCACAAAGGCCCGGGCCCCCAACCACCCAGGCGCTGGATTAAAATGAGTGCGGCAACTCTGCTTAACATTCATGCGGCGGCGCTGGGAGGACTCAGCGTGCGCATTACTCACTCGCAATGCTGCACTCCACGCTTCCCAGAATTGATCACGGGAAACATTGTGTGTGTGTTTGTGTGTGTACGCGCGTGTTGTTTTTTTGTTGTTGTTGTGTGACCTGACCTTCAACAGAATTCAAGAAGTAAAAATTCAGGCGTCATTCGCCACTCAAATGAGGATCGATGCGGGCACCACCCCCAACCCATCTCCCGTGCACGGCCACTGAGCCAGTGTTTGTGGAGATTCCACGTTTTCAGTCTAACGCATAGGACGACTACAGAGAAGTGCTAATTTTATCCAACCCCGGAAGGGATGGTTGTGATTGTCTGAGTCACCCCCACCCCCCCACCACCTCTGGCCTCAACCACAAACGTCGCGATTCCGAGCCACTCGCTCTGCCGCTGCTTGAATCGTTGAGGGTCCAGTTTGCTGCTCGATAAACTGATAAACTATTTTTAATCCCACAAGGCAAGGCCCCTCTAGGCTGCGGGGCTCTCTTTCAGAAGCGGCCTGGCCACAAGCGAAAGCCCAACGAAAGTGGCTTATCGTCGCGTGGAAATGTACAGCAGCAGCCAAATAACTTTAAACGCACGTCCATCCTTGACGTGCAGGGGGGGGGAAACACGGAAGACTCGGAGAAAAATCCACGCCACCACGTGGGCAGAGAGAGAGAGAGACGAGCAAACTCCAAATATTTTATTTTACTATTCTTTGGTTCTTTCGGTAAAGTCATGTAGGTATAAAATAAAATAAATCACGACGTTTCGGGCTCGACACAAGCGTCCATCGTCATTGAAGCGCTGTCGTCCCGACCGTTCTGTTCCTTTCACCTGAAGAAGGCTACTTGTGTTGTGGCCGAAACGTCGTGATAATTTTATTTTATTTTCATTATTTTATTTCCATTCTACGTGACTTTACCGAAAGAACCAAGAAGATGAATCCCTGCAGTCACGAAAGCTTTAAATCGAAACTGCCCATAGACTCAACACTGCCCATAGACTCAACACTGCCCATAGACTCAACACTGCCCCATAGACTCAACACTACCCATAGACTCAACACTGCCCATAGACTCAACACTGCACCATAGACTCAACACTCCCCATAGACTCAACACTGCCCAATGACTCAACACTGCCCATAGACTCAACACTGCCCATAGACTCAACACTGCCCATAGGCTCAACGCTACCCATAGACTCAACACTACCCATAGATTTGATTTAAAGCTTTCGTGACTGCAGGGATTCATATTCTTGGTTCTTTCGGTAAAGTCACGAAAGAACCAAGAATACTACCCATTGACTCAACACTACCCATAGACTCAACACTGCCCATTGACTCAACACTACCCACAGACTCAACACTGCCCATAGACTCAACACTACCCACAGACTCAACACTGCCCATAGACTCAACACTGCCCATAGACTCAACACTGCCCATAGACTCAACACTGCCCATAGACTCAACAATGCACCTCCGATTAGCACGGTTGGCTATGTACGGTGCGAAAGAAGTTCAACACACCTACATACATATGGTCTACAGTTTTGCGTTGCATGGCCAAGATCGCATTGCCTACTACCACTGCGAGCCGCTCTTTATTCATCCGTGAGTGAGGTGTGCGAAGCGTCCTGCTGCTGATGATGATGATCTGATGCGGTTGATGGTCCCACCGGGCGTCTCTCTCTCTCTCTCTGTCGACGAGGAGGAGGACGTGGAGGGGCGACGTTCCTCGCCAAGCAAGTGGACGACGAAGATTTAAAAACCCAACCGCGTCTCTCCCGTTACGTACGTGAACATTTTATTCCAAGACGAAAAACAACAACAACAAGAACAACAACAAAAAGATGGGCACGTGTCGCCGGGACGAGGCGGAAGTAACGGATGACCAAAGGGGGTTCTCGTTTGCTGGTTTTCGAAGGGTGGCAGCGTCGTTGAAAGACTCGCCAAGCCGTCACCGACGACGAGAATGACGCAGAGTGCACGCGACCTCGCGCGCCCCCGGTTACAACAGCGTCCTCCCGACCGCGCGCGATGGAGCCCCCCCCCCCCCCACAAGATCGCTCACTCCGCCGCGCCAACGTACGGCCAACGCAGCAACGCTGGTCCTGTGCGTTGCCTTCGGGGTGCTGGTGAGGCAGGCAACACGAGAAAGGCACAAAAGAGAGAGGATCGGTGACTCGGAGGAGCTGTAAAAGCCGCGAGGATGATCCGAATGGCGCTGGCGAGCTACCCCCCCCCCCCCAAACCTCCCCCCCCCCCAAACCTCCCCCCCCCCCCCATGAACGTGAATCGATTCCATGCCGCTTGCCGCCTGTAGCCTGTAGCCTGCACACAATTTCGCTCCCCGGCCAGCACCAAACACTTCCAAGGCCAGATTTTTCGTCATCCTCATCATCAAATCTGCTGAACGAAGAAGAAGAGAAAGAGCAAGAAGAAGAAGAAGAGGAAGAAGAGGAAGAGGAGGAAGAAGAAGAGGAAGAAGAAGAGGAAGAAGAGGAAGAAGAGGAAGAAGACGAGAAAGAAGAGGAAGAAGAAGACGAGGAAGAAGAAGAGGAAGAAGAAGAGGAAGAAGAAGAAGAGGAAGAAGAAGAAGAAGAGGAAGAAGAAGAAGAGGAAGAAGAAGACGAGGAAGAAGAAGAGGAAGAAGAAGAGGAAGAAGAAGAGGAAGAAGAAGACGAGGAAGAAGAAGAGGAAGAAGAAGACGAGGAAGAAGAAGACGAAGAAGAAGGAAGAAGAAGAGGAAGAAGAAGAAGACGAAGAGGAAGAAGAAGACGAAGAGGAAGAAGAAGACTAGGAAGAAGAAGAGGAAGAAGATGAAGAAGAAGAGGAAGAAGAAGAAGAGGAAGAAGAAGATGAAGAGGAAGAAGAAGACGAAGAGGAAGAAGAAGAAGACGAATAGGAGGAAGAAGAAGAGGAAGAAGAAGAAGAACGATAGCCGCGTTGGTGGCCAGGGAGAACTTGGGGAGGTTTCTGCCAGGATATTCGGCACCGCGCGAATCGGGCTCCGAAATCTGCGCGGCTAATTCGTGCTGTGGAAGGCTGCTGCCCGGCAGTAGGAAACGTGAGGTGAGCCCCAGAGACGATCAAAGCTGCCTGTAATAAGAAAATCAGCAGCAACAGCAGCAGGGGGAGAAATATATTCCCATAAACAATTTTCCTCTAAAAATGCTCTTTTTTTGCTCAGTTCTCCCAGCAATGCGTCTAAACCGTTTGGGAAAGATCAAAGGGTGGGATGGGAAAAGCGTGACGAACTCACAACTCCCGTCAACGATGCGCCCATTGTCTCAGGGGTTGGGGTAGGCTGAGCGATGTGGTTAGCCCCCTTCCCTCTCCGCATTGTCCTCCAAGAACAGAAATGTTGAAATATGCGACTCGACCGCTATCAGTTATATACAACTGAGCCAAGCGAATCCCGTGACGTCCTAACGTATATATATATAGAAATGCCTAATATATCTATCACTACAGAGTGAGGCTTCTCAATAAAAACAACAACGCACAATACATCGAGTCAAGAGGCGGAGCACCAAATGAAGTGGCAACACTTTCTTTTAATTTCCCCCCGCCGAGCGTCGAGACCGAACGGCTTCCGTCATCGGAGGAGGACAAATAACGAGCGGGTGGAGGTTGGTGGGGGGGGGGGGGGGGGGTGGGTGGGGGGCCTTGACGGAGAAAGATGCCCGCCGGACGCGGGCGGACGCGGTGCAGTGGCATCCTTCCGCGGGTCGCAGCCGCGGGCTCCCCGGCACCGCGACAAACGAAAACCACCCCTCGGGCCGTCCGTCCCCTCCGCCCGCCCCATCCCGCTCCCCCCACCCCCGAGATACAACCCACGGATTGGGTTAGGTCAGCGGCTTTCGGGGCGAATGATTTATCCGAACGATTTCGACGCGGAATTTATAATTGGTGGGTGTGGGTGTGTAGAATATCCGCGGGGCTGCGGTTTTTCTCCTCCGTCGGAATGGTGCGACCGCGCGGGGTTAGGGGCCGATGCAGGTTGTTTGTCCTTGGCTGGCGAGGCCACGTGGACGGAGAATGGGTCCCGCAGTGGCTCTTCGATGCTTTATGCCGCTCCTTCGGCACGGCCCCATAAACCCCTTGTCCAGCACGCCTTGGAACAAACAAACAATAGGGCCGTAAATTGAAAAAAAAAATCGATGCGGGGGTAGTCCCTAAGCTACTCCGGCAACCGCTCATTTGCATTCCGGTGTGGTGCACTATTGCTGCTGTGGTAAGTTAATCATCTGGAGCGCGGGGAGGGCGGGGGAGAGAGACAGAGAGAGAGAGAGAGCGTTGAATGGGGAGAATTCAAAGAGAGCGTTGCCCAAAAGCTTTGAGAAAGGTAATGGCATCATCGGTCTTGTAGCTTTCTTCTGGCTGGCGTTGGCTTAAGGCTGTCTCCTGGGCTTGGCTTTGACGACCTTGGTAACAGGCTTCCTGGTATCCACATTCCTGCGGAGAGACAGAGAACACGCGGGGATCACAGCGCTGCCTTGCGCGTCCACGTTTGACGAATCCATTTGAATTCCCATCGCGTCTCAGGGTGCCGCGGTTGGCCGGAGATGTTAGCTCCCTCGCCCGTGGATTTTTTTCCTCCGGGGTTCTCCAGGTTTTTTTCCCTCCCCACCCCCCACCCCACGTTTAGAATCGACGTCACGTGTTTAGAGTGTTTGTCCGCTGGACATTTGCACGTGATGACGATAAAGCCACTTAATTCGGCTACGATTTGTGACGACCGGGTGGCTTCTGTAGCTCAGTAGGGCCTTATCTGGTGCAACAAACAAGCAAATAAATAAATGAATAAATTAGAAAGATCTAATAGTTTAACTCAGTTCAATGAATACGGACGAAAACGATGCCCCCCTCCACCCAGCACGCGCAGCGAAAGGTCGGCACACCGTGCCGGAAGACACGCCGGGGGCGTTACGCACACCGACGGCGGAAATCTACGCCGTGGCAACGCGAGCCGACAACCGCGCCAAAGCCGCCGCTGCACGGATGGCAACAATAACAGCCACCAATCGCCACTAACGGTGTCTGTGCCAGGCTAGGTGCACGCTGAGGCCCGTGTGAGGTGTCGAACGCCCGCCGGCATGAGGTCACGGGACAGGCCCAGGTGCCATGGGGTGACTGCGTTTTAGCCGACCGGGGCTCCGCTCGTTGTTTTGAGCGTCGCTCCTCCGCCCCCCGTTGTTGCCGGAGGGTGACTGCCTCCCAAGTGCCCAGCAGCAGCAGCGTCCTTCACGAGCCACCTCCTCCACAGAGGCCGATCTTGACACCGCTGGTACCGGTCATTGGCAAGTCCACTCAGCTCCATATCCTCCAATACCGCATCAGCCCATCTCTTCTCCAGCCTGTGCCGAGCCCTTTAAGCCCCCTCTATCCTGCCAAACAGAAGCTCTTTGGCCACGTGGTGGCTCGGCATGTGGGCTACATGACCCAGCCAACGAACGGCAAGCGTGCCATCAAGACAAAGACCCCCCGTGTAGCCTCAACAGACTGTTGTGGCAAGTGCTGTTAGCGAGCACCTACGAAGGCCGGCACGGCGCACGAGGGGGTGGGTGGCCGGCGCCACGCCCGGCCGCCTTTGTCTCCCCAGCGGCGATGTTTACTACACACCGCACCCAGGTACTAATTTGAGGCTGAGTCGACCTAGGGGAAGGCCCAGGACTACCGCTCACACGCGCGCCATCCCGCACTGCAACGCGCGAGCATCGCGCGGCTCTCCGCTGCTCGTGAGCCCGTCCGGTTCCCACCTCTTGTTGTTCTTCTTGGGTTTCTTGGCCTTGGGCGGCTTGCGTGCTGCCGGCGGCTTCTTCCGGCTCCCGATGGTTTCTTCGCGACGGCCGCACCGGGAAGGGGGCAGGGAGACAGAGAGAGGTGTGGGGTGTGGGTGGGGGTAGCGATGAGCGTCGTGGGCTGTGGTCGCCCCGTACCGTACACCCGCCCGCCCGCCCACCCGCCCGCTCGCTCGCTCGCGCCCATGTTCGGCGTCAACGAAGAGTGCGATTCTGATGGAAATGTGCCCGGGTGTGTGCGCGTGCGTGTGCGTGGAGCGGTAGTGTAGCGGGTAGCGCTACGCTGCGCTACGAAACCCGGCGGTCCGAGTTCGATTCCCGCTCACGGCCGACGCCGGTGGCGATTATCTGAACCGGTCCTGGGCCTCCTCTAGGTTGACTCAGCCTCAAATGAGTACCTGGTGTGATGTGTAAATATCACCCACCCCCCCCCCCCCCCCATATAGCTTCGACATATAGTCTCGACTGTTGGGGCAGGCGCTGTTAGACAGTAGCAGCACCTATGAAGGCCGGCACAGCACACGAAGGGGGTGGGTGGCCAGCACCACGCTGGAAAGCCTTTGTCTCCCCAGTGGCGATGTTTACACACCGGCACCAGTTACTCATTTGAGGCCGAGTCGACCTAGGGGAGGGCCCTAGGACCGGTTCAGATAATCGTCACCGGCGTCGGCCGTGAGCGGGAAGCGAACTCGGGTCAGCCGGGGTTTCGTAGCAGCGGCGCCACCCCACAACGAGCCGCAATGTCACGTGGTACACGACAAAGCCCATCGTTGTATCATGCGACGCACCACGTGGTGTGTCACGTGATCCACTACGTAGTGCACCATGCACGCCATGTAGTGTGTGTAGCGTGACAAACCCCCCCCCCCCCCCCCCTGGCGCGGCAATTCCGGACATACCGGCGGTCACGAGCATTTTGTGCTTCTTGAAAAGCTGGGTCCTCCGCGTGCCAGTTTCCGCATGGAACGTCGAGTAATCACATCGGCGTCGCAACTCTCCCCGCATCAACGCTCATTCTCCCGTCCCCCACCCCACCCCACCCCCCCCCCCAAAGCAGACACGCACACGCACAAAAATACGAAGAGACCGCGAAGACGACAAGCAGGGCCGTCTTCTTCGAAAACCAATTCCCGGTGAAACTATAAAGACGCCGCCGGATGATGGCATTTGCCCGCTTTTACCATCATCAGCGGCCCGCACGCTCGTGACTGGGCTAATGTTGGGCGTCTAGAAAATATGCACAGTGCGTCGCTGGATATATCCGTGTTGCCGATATCCTCTCCTACCCCCCAACCCCCCCCCCACCCACCCCCGGGTGCGTGGGGTTTTCTGGGTCCATCGGTGTCTTACCAAATGCCAAAAACACTCAATTGTGGAGGGGCCCATGGACCGGTTCAGATGATAATCGTCGCCGGTGTCGAGTGTCACGTGACACACGATGTAATGTGTCACGTGATCCGCTATGCAGCGTATCATGTGCGCCACATAGCGCGTCGTCACTGTATCAGAACTCGGGGAAGTGCTTTTTCGCATCGGCAACCCGCTCACGGCCAACACCGGCGAATGATTATCTGAACCGGTTCCTGGGGCTTCCCCTAGGTCGACTCGGCCTCAATTGAGTACCGAGTGGGATGTAAAAAAAATTAAAACATCACTTCTTGGGAGACAAAGGCGGCCGGGCATGCGGTGCTGGCCACCCCATCCCCCCCCCCCCCTTTCGTGTGCCGTTTCGGCCTTCATTGTTGCTATTTCAGCAAACAGCACTTGCCCCGACAGTCTGTTCAGGCTACACAGGAGACCTTTGTCTTTTATGCGCGCGCGCGTGCGTGATTTGGGGGTTTTCTGGGTCCATGGGGGGGGGGGGGGACTCTCTTCCCCGAGACGCAAAACACTCAAGAATGAACGTGAAAGAAAAACAAAAATAGCGATCCCAGATTCAGAACCCCTTCGTTTAACAGCGTCGCACGGCTCAGCGAGCGAGACCTTCCTGAGTAACCAGAAGGCGTCCAGGTTGTTGTTATTATTAACATGGATATCACGGCAGCACGGAGCGCCATCTCAGCATCCGTACGGTATTCTCAAGATGAATATATATTAAAAAAAAGGACGGAGCATGTGGCTTACGTTTAAGCTGCTTCAAGGGCCGTAAATTCTGTCGGATGGCGAGGACGCCGCCGCCGCCGCCGTTTTCAGACCGCGAACAGCTGCACGGAGGAGCTATTGATGTGAAGCAGAGGTGAACTCTCGCACTGCATCGTGAATACAACTCGCGCGGGTTCTCTCCTCCACCCCTCTGGCCTTAGATCTAAGTTTTCTTGTGGTTGTTGTGGTTGTTGTTGTTTGACTTGCATCCCACTGGGATTTTTTTGGTGCACGCAGCGTTGGTGGTGTACGGTTGGTTTTTTTTTGTGTTCAGGAATATTTTTGCTGGTTTTTTTTTCCGTGGATTTTTCTCTTTGCACAGTCATTACATAGTCACTTGAAGATGTTTTTCTTGTTCGTGTTTTTGTTGTTTTTGTTTGTTTGTTTGTTGCGGTTGCACCCGATTCAAGAGCCGAATGGCTCACAGGGCTATATCAAAATAAAGAAACTGAAAACTGAAACTCTCCACGTGCCGTGAAGAAGGGGCGGGCATCGCCCGAAACGTCGTCTGTTGCGCGACGGGCATCGCTATTTTGGTCATTTGCACCTCACGGGTTGTCCATGAACGTCATCTCCAGTCGAGGGCTTTATCTCCAGGAGGTTTTACTTGGCATGCTGGCAAGCAGAGGATTGGATTTTGCTCCTGGGTCCTCCGGCATTTTTTCCCCCTCCACATTTCGAATGAACGTCACACGTGTTTTGTTTTTTAGGAGTATTTGGCTGCGCCCAAAATTTCCACGTGACGATGAGAAGCCCATTCTCTGAGCTATCATTTGTGGCCAGGTCGCTTCTGAAAAAATAATTCCAGTGGAAGGGTGTTTAAATGATAACACTGTGTAACATATATATTTTTGTTCCTGGGTAGTAAGTGTTATTTCCTAATTTCTGAAACCTCAAATGTACAGAAAATGGCTATTATTCCCCACAAACTGCTTTTGTGACCAATATAAAGATATTTAGAAATTTACCTATTTTCCTTCACATAAAGTCAGAAAACAACAACATATGAATCAAGATTAACATGTACTTATACTAAAGTAATACAAAAATTACGACAAAAGATTTAGACACCAAAGCGCACTACCAAGGTGGGACTGGCCACAGCGGACCGAGTTTTCTGTGGGGAGGAACAACGTCAAGTGGGAGCCACTGGTGGACCCCCGGAAGGTGCTGATGCCACCACTGCACGTCAAATTGGGCCTCGTGAAACAAATTGTCAGAGCTGTAGATAAGGAGTTGGCAGCCTTCAAGTACCTTCAAGACTTCTTCCCTAAGCTGTCTGAGGCAAAGGTCAAAGCCGGTGTCTTCGTCAGACCACAGATAAAGAAGATTCTGGAGTGCAATGAATTCCCCAAGAAGCTCACGAGTAAGGAGAAAGCGGCTTGGAACAGCTTTGTCGCAGTGGTTCGTGGCTTCCTGGGCAATCACAAGATCAAAAACTACGTGGAGTTGGTTGAGACTCTGGTGAAGAACTACGGCACAATGGGCTGTAGGATGTCCCTCAAAGTCCATATCCTTGATGCTCATCTTGATAAATTATAATTGAATGTTGCCCCTTACTTTCAAGGCCTTACAGGGCTTGACTCCTTCCTACTTAACTATATATGTGTGCATGTTAAACTTATTTCGCACCGTACGTAAGCCAGCCGTGCTAAGGCTCATGTACGTATGAATGTTGAACTTCGTTCACACCTATTTTTCCCCCCCCCGTCCAGTAGCATTCCACGAAATGCTACCCTCCCCCTACTCCCCCCCTCCCTTGCTCCTCCCCCCTCTCTAACTTATATAACCCCTTACCACAGCATCTCTCCCACTTCAACTAAAATTTTCTTGCTGTAGTTTTCACACCTGATGATGATGATTGCTTGTGTTGCAATCGAAACGTCGTGAGAATTTGCATTATGTTTTATTTTTATTACTTTATTATTTCCCTTCTACGTGGTGACTTCACCGAAAGAACCAAGAATATGAATCCCTGCAGTCACGAAAGCATTAAATCGAAAATTTTTTTCACACCGTACGTAGCCGACCGTGCGAATCGGAGTTGCGCTTGGAAGGGTCAACAGCAACGAACACAAAGAGCAGTACGAAAGAAATTACTTTGTTAATCAAAAGTGCGTAGCTCTCAGTGGCTTCCGAATAACGGTAGAGCATTCCAGGCGGCCGCGGAAGCGCATCCGAGAGCAGGTGATGCGGTGACCACCGTTTTTTTTCGACGGCCGGCCAGAAGCGGCCGCTGCTTTGAGGATGGTGTCTGACTTACCCCCTGGTCAGCACGGACAGCGAACTCTGGGTGACAGGCCCTGCTGCTGCTGCTGCTCTGCCCCTATGTTGTGGAATGAACGCCCTTCACAAGGACATCAGAGGCTCTGACTTACGTGCTTTTTTTTCCCCTTTCAAATCTCGGCCTCATCACTTTTGCTGTCACTGGCTTTTTTTTTAAATCGACGTACAAAGCGGTTTTGTTCGGACGTAGTCGCACGTCATTTAAATTTGTTCATGTTTATTTTGGCCACGTGTCGCTACGTTGTCCTGATGAGCACGGCTGGCTGAGTACGGCGAGAAAGAAGTTCAACATACAGACATTAGCATTAGCACGTCTGGCTATGTACAGTGCAAATGAAGTTCAACACGTGCAGGGCTTTGAGTTGACTAGTCAAGAAAGGCGCTTTGTAAAATAAAGATGATTTATCCCTCAATGGATCGGTTGCGATAGGTCTGTTAAACCCCGTGGATGCCTTTGCCCGGGTTGCTTTTGCAATTTTATGGATTGTCAAAATGGCAAAAACCTAAGACCAAAAAGGATAATTTATCATTGTTGATGTTGTAATACAGCGCGAGACTATATAACGATCTCTGGCTCCAAAGCAGGGAGGGCATGCTTAAACTCCACGTTGAAATGAGTCACTTCAAACAAAGGCCGTAAAACTAAAATGCATTAAAGCTCGCAACGGCTTCCACACACATGGGGATAAAAGGTATTTCTTTTTTTTACATTTTTGGCTCCTTCCCAAATTCCCAACTCGTTAAATAAGAAGCAGAATTATTTCCGTGTCTTAGCCACGGCGGCTTAGTTTTTATGTTTTTGTTACGGCAGGCGTCGGCATTTGAATCATTTGGCGGGACCCCGGGGTCAATAATAATAATTATTTTTCAGTCCGCCCCACTCGTGACCCCCGACAGCAACGCGCCGCCCGCCCAGACTCGCGCCAACAAGCGTCAGCAGCAGGCGGCGATCGACACGACGGGCGCCACCCCCACCGGCCAAACGCGAGCCCCGGGGGGGCGTCCGCCGCGGTCGCGCGGCGGCGACGACGACAACGCCCCTCCGGTCAGCCGTCGACCCTCGGCTTCTTTGCCAAGGCGAGCCCCACCGCCGCCCCGCCAGGCGGTGAATTGAACGTGTTTGTGTAATTTTTCAACTTTTTACGAAACTTAGCTGCCCCGAGTAGCTCTCGACGAGGCCAATCGATTGACACTACGCGGGTTTTCCCCACCCCGGGGGCAGTGACGGGACCCCGGGGGGTCCCGCCAATTGCTTCATTTGAATAAAAAGCGGACGTTCGGCAAGCGTGATGGATGAAGATGCAGGCGAAGCCTCCTCCTTAAGAATCAAAACTCCGGTCTGCCCCATCCCTCTCTTGTCAAGCAGGGCGTGCCGGGTACACGATGGGGCCCGGCGGAAATATTCTCGTGCGGCCTGCTGCTGTCATCGCGCAACGCTTCACGCAGCAGACACTTTGTTCGTGTTCACGGCAAAAAAAAATAAAATGTTATATTTTGACTTAAAACTTTCGTGACTGCAGGAATTCATATTCTTGGTTCTTTCGGTAAAGTCGCGAGGATAGAAAATAAAGTAAAATTGAAATGAAAAAAATAATAATAATTAAAATTAAAAATTAAAGCAAAAAAAACCAGGACGTTTCCATCGCAACACAGGCGCTTGTGTTGCGCTTGTGTTGAGCTTGTGTTGCGATCGAGACGTCGTGGTTTTTTTGCATTTATTTTAAATTTAAATTAATTTTTAAATTTTAATTTTATAATATTTTTTTTCATTTTCTATCTACGTGACTTCACCGAAAGAACCAAGAATATAAAAACATCATCATGTTTTGTGTTATTATTATGAAAGTAAAAAAAGGCCTCGCTTTGCGCGAGATGTTCACTACCTCGCCTGGCGTACGGGAGATCCAATTAAAATATCAGCAAGGCATATGTAGTGGCGTAACGCGCGCAGGGCTTGCAAACAGCAGTTGCATTCGTGCGCGGGGTCGCAAACAGTGAGGTCAGCTCAGGATAAGCAGGTGCAGTCGGGTGGCCTGGGTGACAGCAGACAGGGAGACGCCGGCAATTAGGGAAAGAGGCGGTGATTGGCTGGCTGCAAATGCAAACGCGGGGTAGGTGACACGGAGGCGAGAGATAGTGGCGATAAGGGGGAGAACACGTGCGTGAGGAGTGGGGAGGACGCAGGCTTAATGAGGGCCATCTGGGGGGCACTTAATGAGGAGGGGGATAAATGGGGAAGGTGTGAGGTAGTTGGGTTGAGTTGGTTGGAGATGAAGCAGTGAAGTGATTGAAGAGAAGTCCGGGACCTCGCCCCCCCACACCTCGTCCTAACGCAGCGGTGTTGGCTGAACCCCCGCTGGGGGCACGGGCGAGGTTGGAGGTGCGGGTGTAACCAGGCTAGCAGTGGAGAGGCTAGCGGATTCTTTAGTCTGAGTGCGATAGGCTAGCGGCGTCAGAAGCTAGCAGAGTGTACAGAGAGAGAGCGGAGTGAGAGGGAGTAAGCTCGAAGTAGCAGGCTAGCAGTGGAAGAGTTCGCGAAAGGAGTGTGTGGTGTTGAACAGGAGGAGCATCCATCCGTGTGGGATGCTGTGAATAAAGTGCGAAGGAGAAAGGACGAAGTGTCCACGTGAATAAACACCACACTACACATATGTACACGTCGGAGTAGGGCGTATGATGGAGGGCCATCACCTGAAACGTCTCGCCCGATATTTATTTTTTTATTTTTAAGGCCACAGTGTTGTTTGATGAACGTGCTCAGGTTTTGTTTTGTGAAAGACTGGGCGTTTAGTGATGCATTGATACATCGATTACAATTGATTCCAACGCACAGGTTGGTACGTATGTACAATCATCATCATAATCAAAATCTACTACAAATCAATGAATCAAGGGATCGCCACACACCAAGTGACTGCATGACTCGCTTAGCACATTGGTGACTCTCAGTCAGTCGAGTTAGCGTGATGTTGACCACCTCGCCTGGTATACAGGAGGTCGTGGGTTCGATCCCGACCCTGACGATGCCTGCTGTATATTTGGAGTTTGCTTGTCTCTCTCTCATCATCATCACGGTGGCTAGGAGATGTTAACTACCTCGCCTGGTATGCAGGAGGTCGTGGGTTCGATCCCGACCTTGACGATGCCTGCTGTATATTTGGAGTTTGCGTGTGTCTCTCTCTCATCATCATCATCATCACGGTGGCTAGGAGATGTTAACTACCTCGCTTGTTATGCAGGAGGTCGTGGGTTCGATCCCGACCCTGACGATACCTGCTGCTGTATATTTAGAGTTTGCGTGTTCTCCCTGTGGCCGCGTGGATTTTTTTTCTCCGGGCACTCCAGTTTTTCCCTCCACGTTTATAAATCGAGGTCATGCGTTTAGAGAATTTGGCTGCTGTGGAAAGAAACTGGAGCACCCGGAGAAAAAACACACGCCGCTGATGGACTGTGTGTGTGTGCTCGGCACAGCTGTGTGTGTGTTGGCTGGACTGCCTTACGAACCCGGCGACCCGAGTTTATTTGTTGCTCACGGTCATCAACACCAGCAACGATCATCCGATCCGGTCCTGGACCGCCCCCAAGTCTGCTCGGCCTCAAATGAGTAACTGGTACGGTATGTAAACTATCACCACTGGGGCCGAGCGTGGTGTTGGCCACCCCCACCATCTCGTGTTCCGTGCCGGCCTTCGTAGGTGCTACTCGCTCAGGGCCACTTGCCCCAACAGTCAGTCGAGGCTTTGTGTCGGCCGTGTCACGCGCGTGCCGAGGGGCTCTCACCGCTTGCCGTGATGCGCCGGATCTGCTCCTCGACGTCAAAGTCCTTGCCGTCGACGTTGAACGTCTCCACGCTCGTTGTGCCGTCAGGCTGCGTCACCGTCTTCCTCACCGACGTGTGCAGGATGCCCCCTGGGAGAGCGGGCGAGAGAGGGGACGACCAAACCACACCCTCACGTCGCATGCCACGTCGGTGGCTCTGCTGTGCTGATGAGTCCCGTTCGTCGTGAAACCCCCGCTGATTAAACCTTTGCCTTTTTTTTTTGCTTATTCCACGTTTTCAAAAAGTGTTTTATTGAACGAACGATTCGGGCACGCAAGAGAGGGCACGCATGCGGATTAACACCGGTGTAGCCACAATGACGAGCACAACGATTACTGCCGACTTTGAATATTTTTGAACTTGTCTTTGTGTTTCAATGAACTCTTAATGGGCTGTGAACCCTTTTCCTGGTCCGGCCGTCTGGAACGCTCTTCCTTCCGACAGGAAGCCAATGGGAGCGAGGGCACTTTGAAATCGTCATCTAGATTGACAAAACTTAAAGGCAAAAAGCAGTTGATCTCGCCAAACGCGCGCATCAGGGAGAGAGGACTCGGAGAACAATAACGTCACAAACCCTGTACGCAGTGTGCATGTAGCACAGCATGTACAGCATGCACAGCGAAATGTTCAAAACCTATAGATTATACAATTGAAAAAAAAAGCACAACTGTTCCCCGCTCGGATTTATATATCATACACAACCCCGCATGCTCGCAAACACACACACACAAATACATATATATTATATAGCTACATTATCTGCAATGACTGTGTTGGGAAGAATTATGGGATGTGTGGCAGGTATTGGAAGAGTGCCGTAAAAATGATCTACAATAATAATAATAATACGTCCCAAAGATTTTTATGGCCAATTTCACGGAAAAAAAAAACCAGTACTGTATATTACACACGCACGCGCACGCACGCACGCACGCACACACGCACGCGCATCTCTCATTATTACTCTTCGCCAAACAGTGGAGGACCACGCATCCTTGCAGGGGGAGAATGCCATTTGGATCGCACGATCCCGAGCGGAATGATTCCGTGCAAAACACGGCTGGGTCCCAAAGAGAGAAACAAAAAAAAAAAAAACCGGCGCCCGTCGCTTTCGCGACCGCGCTCAACGTTTCGCTTCGCCGGTGCCGACCCACATCAGCCGCAACGCGTTCACAACCCGCTCGGCTCCGATGCCGGGTTGGTGGGAAATCATGACGGGAATCCCCTCGCTACAGCGACTCTCCCGCTCCGATTCGTGGTCCCGTCCTGCCACCTCCGTGCTCACGTGAACGGACTCGGCGAAGATCGCACAAAAGGTTCCAAGCGCGACTGAAAATTGCACGGTTACAATTGCTTTCATTGAGCGTGTGGCGGAGATGTTCGCTACCTCGCCCGGTATACAGGAGATCGCGTGGGTTCAATCCCGACCCTGACGATGCCTGAGCCTGCATGTTCTCCCTGTGGTCGCGTGGATTCTTCTCCGCGTCCTCTGGTTTTTGCCTCCACATTTCGAAATGTGCGCTTTTAGAGTATTTGGCTGCTATACATTTCCGCGTGACGACGATAAGCCACTCCGTCCGGCTATCATTTGTGATGGCCAGGTCGCTTCTGAAAAAGAGCTACGTAGCTCAGTGGGGCCTTACCTGGTAAAAATAAAAAAATGTTTCAGTTTATAGTTTTAAAACCTGTGTATTTGTTAAGATGGAATGCTTTTGCTGCTGATGTTGGTCTCCCGGCCGAGTGGCCCTTCAAAAAGAACTTCATGCAGCTCCGCGAGCTGTGCTCGGGAAATACGCTTCTGATCCTTCCGATGCTGATGACTGAAGCCACATTTGCAGTCTCCGTCATTTCCCTCACTCTCCATGACGACAGAGACGCTGCCGCGTTTACACCCGTGGGAATCATGCCCTCCACAGACCGGAGTTTTGTCCCCGATGTCGTGACGGATACAAAACAATGTCAAAACGCGCGAGCGCTCAAAAAACCAAACGTGCGCTTGGCATTAGTTTTCAGGACGATTTTGCTGCCATGAATGACCACGCGATGTCCATGAGCCACTCCGTTGAGCTATCAGGTTGCGGCCAGGTTGCCTCTGAAAAATAAGTGAATAGCTCGGTGGGCTTTTAACCTGGTAATATAAAAAAAAGGAATAGTAAAGTTTGATCTGTATGTGTATTTTCTTCTCAAGTGATTTGTTCACCATCCCAAAACTTTGCACTCCTCACCGTTTGGTTATTTCGGTAAAGTCACGTGCCTACGGTAGAGTCACGTGACTTTACCCACGTGACTTTACTGAAAGAACCAAAGAGTGTGGATTCCAGCAGTCACGAAAGCTTCAAATCGGAGACCGTGAACTCCTGTCGTGCCTTTTGTATCGTTTTATCGTCGTGACCTTCTGACCCCGCGCCCCTGCTACCGGACACCTGCGACGGAAGAGCTTCACAGCTCATCGGATTCACCCTCCGGTATGAATACATCTGATTCCGATTCTGAAAGCCCGGCGTTCGACGGGCTCGACAGCGACACCGCAGATCTCGATTCCACCTACCGCCAGCGCCCGTGCAATTTCTGCGGGGAATTTACCACGCCGTCCCACGCGCTCCAAAAACGGCGTCACTCTTGTGAAGCTATAAAAACCCCAAAAACTGTGAACTGTTTTTTTTTATTGACCAGGTAAGGCCCCCACTGAGCTACTGCCTGGCTGTTTTTCAGAGTGCGACCTGGCCATCACGGCGTGGCTTATCGTCATCGTCCGGCATGGCAGCAGCCAAACGCGCTCCAAATGCACGTTTCTAAACGTGGAGGTAAAAAAATAAACGGAGGACGTGGAGGAAAATCCACGCGACCACGGGGAGAACGTGCACACTCCAAATACACAGGCGTCATCAGGGTCGGGATCGAATCCAAGGCCTCCTGTAGACCAGGCGAGGTAGTTAACATCTCGCCACCATGGTGCCCTATATCATTACTCACACAATCAAGTCGCTGTGCGCTGGCATCGAATCACAAGATCTGACTCCTGAAAATGAAGTATAAGGAAACGTTTACACGTTGTATATATTTTTGTAAAAAAAAAATGCATTATTGCATTCATTGACTTTGTATGCGCACTTATCACGCACGTGATCTTGACCCAATGAGCACCGTGGCGAGCCATAACTCAGTCGAAGGTTTGCCTTGTCGTAAACAAACGCCACTGACAAACACCGCTCCGGGAATGCCCCAGACGTCGGACGAAACATAAAACGCCATTCTCCTCTGCCGACGGCAACGGAATGGTTGATCCCGGCCGCATCAAACCAGGCGGAACCCGGCCAGGCGGAACCCGGCCGGGCTGACGAGCCGCGGGCCCGCCGTACCTTCGCTGACGAGCCGCCTGATCTGGCCCTCCAGGTCGTCCCCCTCCAGGTTGAAGGTCTTCACGCTGCGGCTCCCGTCCGCATCCACAATCGTCTTGCGCAGGGTCACCTTGCTGAACGCGCCTGCAGATGGCACAGACCGCCGCTTAGTGGAGCCACAGCAATCATGGTGCTGACAGCAATGAGAGGAATGACGATAATGACGATGACGACGGGACGAATGAGACCGAGGTATCGCCATGCTCGCACGGGCAGTGCCAATCTCCTCCTCCCGGTGGGAACGAGTTCACAGCTTCCGACAGAATCTCCAGAGGGTCACAATCGCTGAGTGTTGAGTGCCACTTCGGCGACCTCGCACAAAGTGGCACGCGCAATTCCAACCTCTGCGTGACGATGGGCCGAGTCCAACCCAAACTTGGGATCTGAACTTTTGTGACCTTCTGTTTAGCGAGTTGGGCGCTCCTACCTATTGGGGCCGGATCGGTCGTAGCTTAATCATTGGGGCATCGCAGTGGCGAAATGTGAATTCCCTCGCTTGGTATGCAGGAAGTCGTGGGCTCGATCCCGACTGACGCCTGCTGTATATATGGAGTTTGCGTGTCTCTCTCTCTCTCATCATCGCCATCACGGTGGCTATGAGATGTTAACTACCTCGCCTGGTATGCAGGAGGTCGTGGGTTCGATATCGACTCTGACGCCTGCTGTAAATTTGGAGCTTGCGTGTCTCTCTCTGTCTCTCCCCGTGGTCGCGTGGATTTTTCCCAGGCTCCTCCGGTTTTCCCCTCCACATATTAGAATCAACGTCACGCGTCCAGAGTATTTGGCAGCTATAAATGTCCACACGACGATAAGCCGCTTCGTTGGGCCATCGCTCGTGGCCAGGCCGCTTCTGAAAGAGAGCTACACGGCTCAGTGGGGCCTTACCTGGTCAAACAAAATTTCGTAAATTTTTTTGGCGGAGTTTAAATGGGGGGGGGGGGGGGGGGGGGGGGGGGGGGGGGGGTGGGGGGGGGGGGGGGCCGGGGATCGGACGGCAGAAGCGACGTTGAGTGCGACGACGGGACGACGAGGTGAACGAGAGCGGCAGCGGTGGCGGCGACGGTGACATTTCAGCGACAGTCGCATCAACCACCCCCAACCCCCCCTCCCCACCGGCACGGATCTGCCGGAGCAGCTCCTCTGAGATTCCGTCTCCGTCCAGCGAGAAGGTTCCAGAGGCCTTCTTCTCCGTCAGCACGTTCCAGCCTACGTGGGGGGAGGGGAGCAAGGGGGGCGGGGGTGGTCACACATAAAGATCCCCCCCTCCACATCGTATAGCCTCAACAGACTGTTGGGGCAAGTTCTGTTAGCGAGTAGCACCTATCTATGCAGGCCCGGCACGGCACACGAGGAGGGATGGGTGGCCAGTATCACTCCCGGCTGCCTTTGTCTCCCTGTGGCGATGTTTTCACATCGTACCAGCAGGTACTCATTTGAGTCAACATAGGGGAGGCCCAGGGAACTGTTCAGATAATCGTCTCTGGTGTTGGCCGTGAGCGGGAATCAAACTCGGGCCACCGGGTTCATTCGGAGGGCCATGGTGGTGTGATGTTAACTATCTCGCCTGGTATGCAGGATGTCGTGGGTTTTATCCAGACCTTGCTGCCTGTGTATTTGGAGTTTCCACGTTCTCCCCGTGGTCGCGTGGATTTTTCTCAGGGTCCTCACGGATTTTCCCCTCCACATTTAGAATTAACATCACGCGTTTTAGAGTATTTGGCTGCTTTCAATGTCCACGTGATAAGCCACTTCGTTGGGCTATCATTTGTGGCCAGGTCGCTTCTGAAATAGAGCTACGTAACTCAGTGGGCCTTACCTAGTAAAATAAAATTTAAAAAATATCCACGCGACCACGGGGAGAACATGCAAACTCCAAATATATAGTGGTCGTCAGGCTCAGGATCGAACCCGCAACCTCCTGTATCGCGGGCGAGGTAGTTGACATCTCCTAGCCACCGTGGCCTCCTCCCTCCCGAGTCGGTGCAAAGAGACCCCCCCCGGGTAACGAGTTCAACATTTTGATTCAAAGCTTTCGTGACTGCGGGGCATTCATATTCATGGTTCTTTCGGTAAAGTCACCACCACGTAGAAGGGAAACAGTAAAATAATAAAAATATAAAACAACAAAATGCTCACGACGTTTCCAGTGCAACACCAAGCAACCGTCATCAGGTGTGAAAACCGCGGCAAAGAACGACCTGAAAAAAGTTCAACGTTGTTCTGGAAATGAATTCGCCGGCAAAATCGCGCCGATTGCCGCACCACGATTTGCGAGGCACCGCGATCGTGACCACGCGCGTCTCCCCCGTATGACGCGGCACGCGCGCCTAGACCCCGGCGGCTCTTCCATCGCACCCCTCGTGTGCGATGTCTCCTCCCCCCCCTTCAATTAGCAGTCCCGTTGCGGCTCGCGACCGCCGCGAGGCGCCACGGGCCGCGTTCCGCCGCCGCGTGCCAGCTGTTGCACGGGGAGGGTGCTTGGGAGCGGGGCCCACGGACACTGACCGTCGATGATGATGCGCTGGAGTTGATTCTCGATGTCGTCGCCTTCCAGGACGAAGGTCCGCGTGTCGACGCTCCCGTCGGGCCCGATGACGGTCTGGAGGATCGTCACGGTCGTGTAGCCGCCTACACGTCATTGGGGGGGGGGAGGGGGGGCAGGGGAATAGGGGGAGGGGCATGGGGGGCGAGTGGCATGGCAGCACGAGTGCGAGTTTACTCGGAATCGGCAGGTTGGGCGAGTTTGTGAAAATGGCAAATCGTCGCCCGAAGGTGCTGGTTGCGTAATTTCCAGCGAAACGTCGTACACGAATTGTCAATGTTGTGGATTCACTCTTCAAACACACACCGGTGGGCTGAAGGAGTAACCACTTGGCGTTTTGTTAACGCGACACATTTCGTGCCGATTGAATAGTACCGGTCGCGAAAGCCTGCTAAGGTGTCGAACTGAGTTAGCGGGTTGTCGAGAGAGCGTGATGGTAAGGTGGGTGGGTGGAGTCCGTGTGGAGATGAGTCAGTGGACTGGTGGGATGAGCTCTTTAGAACTGCATTTGGCATTTTTAGTTTGCTGTTCTTCCCCCCCCCCCGCATCTCCAATGAGCATGGTCGGTTATGTACGGTGCAAAATAAGTTCAACGTACATGCATGCGTACATGGGTTTGATGGGGTTATGGATTGGCAGGTGAGTTGCTGATTTGGTAAAGTGGTGGGCAGGGAAGTTTGTGGGCGGATAGTTTATTGAGATTTACACATCTTGGTAATTTTTTTCTCTCTCTCTCTCTAATAATTCATGATAGCAGTTCGAGCACGTGGGCTCGTTACCAATTTACGCAAACGTTTTGAGAGTCGTCCCCTTGCGTGCACATGGCCATGAAGTTGTTGGTAATTACAAGCAAGTCACAGAGCTGTCAACCCACACGGCTGTACCCAGCATTATTGCACGAGGAAATGGAGTTCACAGGTTCATACGGTGCTACAGCCGTTTCAATACGGGGAGCAAAAATGAATGTCTTCCTGTTTGTGTTTCTGCCCTTGTGATGGGACTTTGTAGGATGAACGTTGAGATTCACAAGGGGCCAACAAGGTCTGAATTGGTCTGTAATAAGTTGGGCACTGATAAGAGGTTGACAGGTATAGTAGTGGTGAGTGTACTAGTGGTGAGTGTACTAGTGGTGAGTGTAGCGGTGAGTGTTGTGGTGAGTGTACTAGTGGTGAGTGTGGTGGTGAGTGTACTAGTGGTAAGTGTAGTCGTGAGTGTAGCGGTGAGTGTACTAGTGGTGAGTGTGGTGGTGAGTGTACTAGTGGTGAGTGTACTAGTGGTGAGTGTAGTGGTGAGCGTGGTGGGGAGTGTACCAGTGTTGGGTGTAATAGTGGTGAGTGTACTAGTGGTAAGTGTAGTGGTGAGTGTAGTGGTGAGTGTAGTGGTGAGTGTACTAGTGAGTGTAATGGTGAGTGTACTAGTGGTAAGTGTACTAGTGGTGAGTGTACTAGTGGTGAGTGTACGAGTGGTGAGTGTACTAGTGGTGAATGTGGTGGTGAGTGTACTAGTGGTGAGTGTACTAGTGGTGAGTGCACTAGTTTTGAGTGTAATGGTGAGTGTAGTGGCGAGTGTAGTGGTGGGTGTAGTAGTGGTGAGTGTACGAGTGGTGAGTGTACTAGTGGTGAGTGTAGTAGTGGTGAGTGTATTAGTGGTGAGTGTACTAGTCGTGAGTGTACGAGTGGTGAGTGTACTAGTGGTGAGTGTAGTAGTGTTTCTGCCCTTGTGATGGGACTTTGTATGTTGAACGTTGAGATTCACAAGGGGCACGGGGTGACCAACAAGATCTGAATTACTCTGTAATAAGCTAGGGGGCAATGATAAAGGGTTGACACAAATCCTGGTGTGGGCGGGGCGGAGAGGGGGGGAGATGGAGGGGAGAGGGAGAGGGGGGGGGGCCGGCCCCCACCGTTGAGGATGAGCTTCAGCAGGTCGTCGGTGATGTCTCCGTCACCTTCGATGACCACGGCATCGCCCGTGGGCCGCATCCGCGTCGTCCCGAGCCGCACGACGCGCGTGAACGCATCCCAGCCTGCCGCGGGGTCACAGGCGACGGGGTCACGGTGGGTGGAGGCCGAAACCTCGCCCGTACCGGGAGGAATCCGGCGAGCTGCGAAACTCTCGCGGATGTCCCCGGGGTCAAATCGGGAGCGACGTCTCAATCGGCACGCACGCCGGAAACGGTTGCGCAAATGCCCCCCCCGAAAAAAAACCGAAACGTCGGAATTTTACATCTTTTAACGCTCCAGCCCTTTTGTTGCTGCTGTTGTTGCCGTCCTGGCCACGTGCGACAGGGCTTCTCTGTAGACAGAAGACGGCCACGTACGTGCGCATGCGTGTAGGTGCGTACGCGACGCGTACGTACGCACACGTGTGTACGTACACACGTGCGTCGCACTTACGTACACACACACCACGCACGCAACCACGCACACACAACCATCACTCATACACACCACACACTCACCAACACACACACACCACACTCACCAACACACATAAACACCACACTCACCAACACACACTCACCAACACACACACCACACTCACCAACACACACACACCACACTCACCAACACACACACCACACTCACCAACACACATACCCAACACACACTCACCAACACACACTCACCAACACACACACACCACACTCACCAACACACACTCACCAACACACACACACCACACTCACCAACGCACATACCACACACCACTCACCAACACACACGCCACACACACCACCACACACACACATCACACTCACCAACACACACACTCACCAACACACACTCACCAACACACACACACACCACCACACACACACCACACTCACCAACACACACAGCACACACACCACCACACACACCACACTCACCAACACATACACACACACCAACACACACACACACACCACACTCACCAACACACACACACACCACACTCACCAACGCACACACACCACACACACCACCGCACACACCACACACACCACCACACACACCACCACACTCACCAACACACACACACACCACACTCACCAACACACACAGCACACACACCACCACACACACCACACACACACCACACACACACCACACACTCACCAACACACACACACACACACACACCACTCACTCACCAACACATTCACCAACACACACTCACCAACACACACTCACCAACACACACACACACACCACACTCACCAACACACACACCACTCACCAACACACACACACCACTCACCAACACACACACACTCACCAACACACCACCACACACACACCACACACACTCACCAACACACTCACCAACACACACACCAACACACACACACCACACTCACCAACACACCAACACACACACCACCACACACACCACCACACACACACCACCACACACACACCACACACACACCACTCACCAACACACACACACTCACCAACACACCACCACACACACACCACACACACTCACCAACACACTCACCAACACACACACCAACACACACACCACACTCACCACCACACACAAGCTGCCCCAACAGAGGGCGCTGCTGCTACGAGCTCGAGGCATTTTCTGTCAGAACGGGGGGGGGGGCTCAGAAACGGTGGGGGGCCCATGGATCAACACTCGTTCTCTGCCTGAACAACAACAACAACCAGGCTACAGATCAACAATAACGTGGCACTGTGGGGGGGGGGGGGGGGTGTTGATATTAACGCAAGCTGTCAGCCCGCTGTGGGTTAGAAGTCAACGTTGCACTGAACAGCGTGGCCGTGAAGAAGGTTTTTTTTTTAAAAAGATGAATCCGTGCCACCGGCCACGTGAGTAACGAGGACGACGTGGAGACAAACGCGGGGTGACAGAGGCTGTGTCGGTGCGTGTGTGTGAGAGAGTGTGTGTGTGAGAGAGTGTGTGAGAGAGTATGTGTGTGAGAGAGTGTGTGTGTGTGAGTGTGTGTGTGAGAGTGTGTGTGTGTGAGTGTGTGTGCCGGACGGGCAACTCTGTCGTGGACAGCGCTGTGAGGGGAGGGCCAATTGGCCCCTCCCCTCATGGCGTCTGTGACCACCACAGTGGCTAAACGGGAGCTCTGGACGGGTGCGAGGGCTGGTAACCCCTCCACCTTCAAATAATTACCACGAATTAAAAATGTAACTAATAAGCTTGTGCCGGAGGCCCCGGGGGGACAGGAGTCTATGACGTCTCCTGGTCAAACACCAATTGGCGGAGCCAGGAGATTGAATCTCTACCCTCGGGGCCCCTCCAGAAACAACGAAAAGCCACTTCGTGTGGCCCCGTGGAATGTTCAAACGCTCACTGCGGAGGAGAGGTTGCCACTCCTCTGTCGGGAGCTTGACCGGTACTGCCTGGATTTCTGTGGCATTCAGGAGGTCCGGTGGACCGGTTCTGGCTCCTGCCACCATGAGGAGTGGACAGTCCTCTACTTGGGGCAGCAGACTGCCAAAAAACAGGGTGTGGCTCTTCTTTTGAACAAAAGAATAAAGGGGGCGTGGGAGCGTGGCGGTGAGGTGTGGGAAGCTGTAAGCCCCAGGCTACTTTGGGCTCGCCTTCCCATCAACCGGAGGCGAGGAGTGGTGGTCGTAGTTACTTATGCCCCCACCGAAGACGAACATCCGTGGAGGGATGCAGGCAAAGCCGATGAGTCAGATGCCTTCTATGACCTCCTAAAGTGGCCCCTCGGGATAGAATCATCTTGTTGGGTGACTTCAATGCCCGAGTTGGTCATGATGCTGGCACCTGGTCTGGAGTGATTGGAGGGCATGGGCCAGATCAGCTCAATAACAACGGTAGGAGGCTGCTAGATTTTTGTGCAGCCCATGGGCTTGTAATTACCAACACGCTGTTCCGGCATCGGCGCATCCACACAACATCATGGATGCATGCTGGGTCCAAGAAAGAACATCTGCTAGACTACATAGTGATGGACCAACGGATGCGAGTCAATGTCCTTGACACCAGGACCTACCGTGGAGCTGATCTGCCCTCTAACCATCGACTAGTCATCTGTAAGATGTGCCTGCCATTCTTCCACTCCGGTGGTGGGTGTACACCCAGGACCCCATTCCAACCTAAAGTGGCCTGGTCACAGTTATCTGATGAAAGTTGCAAGAGAGAATTTCATCATCGCTTGCGGCTGGGGTTGGCATCGTCCCCCACTCCTCCTGATGTCGAGGGTAAATGGGCGAAGTAGAGGACTGTGACTCATGCAGCTGCAATGGCTGCTTTGGGTACGCGGTCCAGACCTCCCCAGAAACCCTGGCTGACAGAGGAGGTGTTCAGGATAGTTGAGAAAAAGCGACAGGCCCACTGTCATCGGCTACAGAATCCCACGTCAAAGAATGAGGAGGCTTACCGCAGCCTTCGCTCGGAGGTTCGGAGAGCCGTGAGGCGCTGCAAGAATGGGTGGTGGTCGCGGGTTGCTGAGGAGATGGAGTCTGCCTCAGTGGCCCGCGATCGCAAATCTCTATTTAACTCCAACAAAAAAGTAACCTGCAGCGCCACACCTAGTACCATCATTAGGGGAAAAAACGGTGATCCAATCTCCGACCCCTATGAACAGATTTGCAGATTTGCTGAGCATTTCTGTGAGGTCCTGTGGGAGGGGAAATCCCTCAGCCAGGAAACATCTTGGCACAAAGTGGGGATGACCCTGCTGAGGCTGCGGTGCCTCAAATATTGGAAGAAGACACCCCCTGTGAGTGGCTGGCTGAGGTGCCATCTGTTGAAGAAGTACTGAAGGCGATCCGGAGTCTGAGACCAGGAAAGGCACCGGGCAGAGATGATCTCCCAAGTGAAATGCTGAGGGAGGGTGGCATTTGTGCACAGACTGCCCTATATGACATCATAACAACAGTCTGGACCACTGGACGGGTTCCGCAGGATTGGAAGGATGCCCTGGTGGTCCCCCTCTTTAAGAAGGGGGACCGCACAGACTAACAACTACAGGGGCATCTCACTCCTCAGTGTGCCGGGAAAGGTCCTGGCAAGGATTATTCAACATCGCCTCGCCAGGCATGCCGAGGAGAGGCTTGCGGAGCCCCAATGTGGTTTCAGGAAAGGGCGGTGCTGCACAGATGCCATATTTTCTGTCCGTCTGCTACAGCAGAGGTGTAGGGAATTCCAACAAGACCTACATCTCTGCTTTATTGACCTGGTCAAGGCCTATGATACCATCAGTAGGCCTGGGCTCTGGGTTGTTGTTCGTGCTTTTGGAGTCCCTGACCCTCTGCTCACGATCATTAAGGACCTTTATGATGGTCAGCGGGCCCGGGTAAAACTACGTGGCCGGGAGTCACAGCCATTCCCTGTACACCTTGGGGTGCGACAGGGATGTCCTCTGGCTCCCACATTATTTAACATCTATTTTGACCACGTAGTTCGTGAAGCCTTCAATAGCTGTACCGGGGAACCTCCATTTGGTACAGATATAATGGGAGGCTGATCGATGCCTGGGTGCTCAACCACGTTATGTATGCCGATGATTTGGTAATAGCTGCTCATTCAAAGGAGGAGTTGGAGACGCTGCTGCTGAGATTGGAACGTGCCACTAAGAGATGGGGCCTTACCATCAGCCCCACCAAAACTAAGCACCTGCCTGGGTATTTTGTACCATCGGACACTCCACCCCCACAACTCCGAATCGGTGATGGGGCAGTTGTGGAGAGAGTGGAGAGTTTCCCATACCTGTGCAGTGTGATTATGACCGGCTCCAGTTTAACAGCAGAGGTCTCACTCCGAATCAGTCGAGCGGCAATATCTTTTCATCGGTTGCGTAACGCTGTGTGGAAGCTACCTGGTCTGTCGCTCCGCACTAAGCTTCAGGTCTTCTCTGCCACGGTCATTCCCTCCCTTCTCTACGCTTGCGAAACGTGGACCCCCATAATGGAGCATCTTCGCCGGTTGGAAACATTTAGGCTGTCCTGCCTACGATCCATCCTGGGTTTAACAAGGCTGGATTGTGTGAGGAGCTCACAAATCCTTGAAAGATCTGGGCAAGGTCCCATC